ATCCACCATGACAACTTCAGCAAAACAAAGTGATTATGATCCATAATCCCTCTAGGTAATTAAAATAAATAACTAAACAACAATAATAATTAACAATAAACATTGAAATAATTATCCATTTACCTTTTAAAATCTGCTTGGGTTTTTTTCCTATTCCCTTCTGATTCTGTTATTATGCAACTAAGAATGACTTATCATATAATTATAAACATAGTGTTTAAAATGCTTATATATTCATTTCAATGTTTATTTGCTATTTACATTCCCTTATTTTTCAGCAAATTTTGCTTTAACTAGAAACGCTAATGTACAGCAGACAGCTGATCTCTAATTGTTTACCACCTGCCTCTTTGCAGCCAATGATGCTGTCCTTATGGTGCACAATGTGATATTTTTGTTTACGAAACAGCATTCATGTTGGTGAATCATATTGCATTCCTTATTAAATAGAGTCCTAATTAAGTTAAAAGAAAGGAATTACATGTATAGATATATGCACGAAGATGTTTATTCACCAAAAAACTGCAAAAATAAGACACAAAGTTCTGATTTTCTAGTGCTGTTTCCATTTTACTTTTATTTGGAGTTTAGGAGTAAACCCATAGTAAATGTGAAAATGTACAAGAATTTGCAAATTTTGGGAGAAAATAGCAAAGATGAAAAAATAGGTAAGTTAAAGTTTCCAGTTTAATTGTTTTCACGTAAAATTTGCAATTCCCATGCCAATTATATATAGTTCACACTTCATTAAACAAATGCCATAACAGATGGGAAATGTCAGGAACTGGAAGTAAATTTGAAGTGAAATTGAAATTTTAGGAAAAAATAGCTGAACTCATAAAATCTGACTAATTTTCAGTTTTACAATCTATTTTTCCAATTCAATAACTATGGCATGAAGTTTCAAATTCTTTGCATCCGCTTTTAATTCCTGACAAATTATATTTTAGTTAATAAACACGACAACAAGTATTTAGTTTTTTTTGCACTTCGCATTTTATAATTGATGTAATAGACTTTTTAACATAAGACATTTTAACATTGTCTCATTTTCTACCTCTTTCTTCCATCTCTAGGTTCTATGTCGAATGGAATTATTGCAGTTATTTCATATCCACAGTCACTGATGCCATCTATGAAATGAAACAGATGACTGCTTGGTGATCTGTGAAATGTTTCCCTTCTGCCTTGTTTGGTGTTGATTCATCACTTCTACCATTATTAGTGTTTATTAGGATGCTGTTATAAAAGGATTATTCACTAAACATACAATTTTAGCGTATTTTAGTGAATTAAATTTGAATGGCAAAATTGAGGCTAATATAGCCAAGCTGTGACTATAACTGAGGTGAAGAATAGTTCCAAGTTGGTTAATTTAGCTGCCATTTTTACAGATATCAACCACTCTGTCAGTAGCTTGCTGGTAAAGCACAGGAACACACACCTGATCATGCCCACTTCATCCAGGGTGGGCAATAGAAACAGGCATGTAGCAGCTGGCTGGTAAACCATTGTGACAAGGTAAGAACAAGACCTTTTGCTTCAATAGAATGTATAGGGAATTAGCTGTTAGCTGATAACAAGTAGCAACAGTGCTGGAAACCAGTTGAAAAATTAGGAGCTTCCATTCAAAATAAGGAGAGCTGTCATCAGAGCCAATCCTGGGTGGAAGCAAAGTGCACAGGCGCTCTGCAGATAGAGGCGGATCAGCAAGGTGTGCAGCTCTAGGCTCCACCCCCTCGTATTAGGCTCTGTCCCCTCATGATCAGTGCTGGGAGGCAGAGCTGGAAGGCAAAGGTTACAAGCTATTTGAGGATGATTTATGAGGCGGCGGAACCTAACAAGAGGGGTGGGCCTAATGTGAAGGGATGTAACCTAGTGCTGCACACACCCCTGATACGCATACTATCCGGCACATACACAGTTACACAATGCTAGACATGCGCATACATGCAACAATACACACTGCCAGACACACACTGTGATTGTGTGTCTGTATCTGTGAGCATGTGTTTGTGTCTGTGTGTTGTTGTGTGTCTTTGTGCATCGATGTGTTACTATGTGTGAAGATATCTGAGTGTGTGCGTATATGCGTGCATGTGACAGAGCATATATATGTGCAAATGTATAAGAATATATATATATTTATATATATATATATATATATATTTTTTTTTTTTAAATAATTACATATTATATGGGAAAGAAAGTCTATATGTCTATATTACATATGGAGAAATTTTATTTATTTACATCAATGTTTTCTTATAGATAAATTCATTATCCAACCAAAACTTCCAATTCTGTTTCCATTAAATAATGTGCTATAAATGCATACTGAATCAAAAAAATAATTGAAACATTACTTTCCAAGGTAACCAAATAACTACTAATAATAATGGGGGTGTTTTTCTTGCAAACCAGTTGGCAGTAAAGGGGCTAAAAAGTATTGGGTCAACCATGCGGAAATAGCTAATCCCATGGTATAAAAACTAAATTGTGAGTCATATGGTTGCTGGTGAAAACTAACATTATCAAATCCAGGCGATCTCTAGAAAGATATTGAACATTGTTGGAAATAAGACAAAAATGAAACAACATAGTGAAATATATTAGGAAGTTATTACTACTCAGAGAATACAGACAAACACTAATTGCATGTTCCAGGAAGGGTTCATCCAGGCAACTGCAACAGCAAAAGAAAGAATGTGTTGTACTTTGATTGTCCTTCATCTGACACATTTTGGTACAAAACAAGATACAAAACCAAGAAGCTGTGTTTCACATAGGGTCAGCCAGGAAATATTAACATTCCAGTGTGGGACAGCCGTAAGGCAGAGTAAGTAAGGCAGGATAACCCCTTGCTAATTGGAATTTTACACAGAAGGGTACTGCAGATCTTCGGTGTTATTGTTCTTGTTAGGCTCAGGGAGACGTGGAGATTTACTGCACATCGAGTCAGTTTGTGCAGAAATAAATGGAGTTTTACTACACATGGAGTCAGATTGTTTTGAAGCCAGAATACATTAACTCTGCAGGGAATATACTGGCAAATAACAGAGAAAAAGCAAAGTAAGCATGACAACCCTTTCCTCTCTGGATTTTTAGGGAAATTAAATGCCGCAGCTCTTTAACATCTCTGATCTTAGACCTCCTAATGTACTCGTAATCAAAGCTGTCATCAATATATATGGTACTCTAGTAAAGTGTTCTAACAAGTGGAAGCTTGTGATGTTCAAAGATGGTGAGGTGCTGTAATCCTATCTGATGGGCTCTGCCAGCTTAACCCCATGTGCTCAGCCCCTGACCGACTAAGACATCATACCCTGTAGGCCCCTCAGACATGGTTAGATTACTCTAACAGGATTTCTGACTTCACACATTTGCTTGGCATTGGACCTATATAATCTGGCATATTTTTTCTGCCTTTGGGCTGACAATATTAGTAGGTGGATTCAAACCCATTTAAAGTGGCTGTTGTTTCCCAAATACATGTATATTATGGTTATGGTTGATTCCGCCAAAAATCTGAATTTTTTTTAAATCTCCCAAAATCTTGATGTGAATTAGTTGCTTAGTCTATGAGCATCAACTCCAGCAATCAATATATCATGACAGATGCAGACATGTTTTTTTTGTTAAATGACAAAAACGTATCGATAGTCCTTAACCAACCAATAGATTTGATTTTTTTTTTTACATAAAAATTGGAGTGGGAGGGGGGCTGCTTCTCCACCTATCCCCATGGACCTTCTCCACTTGTTATAATCATTGAGTATTTAGGTCAAGTCCAATAATATGCTATGGTACACACTGAGAATTTGTAGGCCTGCATGAGACATGTTATGTGTTTCATGCTAATAATAACACCATTTGAACTTTCTAGGTCAGTACACCTGTTGAAACACCCCTACAATTATACCATTGATATGACTTACTCTACAGGTATTGTTTGCTAAATGGTACAGAAAGATTATACACCTCAATAATAGATTGTTAAGAAAGGGTGTCCTGAAATGGACAAAGAGAAGAAGGAAGAGAGTGAGAGTGTCAGATACACAAACATATATATAATCAGAGTTGCACCAAAAATTCTACTTATGTATAGTGTGAAAGCTTTCTCTCACCTCTTCCTCAGCTACGTTCTTCATCTTTACTAGAATCTCTGATGATGATCTTCTCGCTATCATAAAGCAATCCTTCTCTTACACTTCCCCTTCTAACCAGATCTCATATTGCTCATTCTCGCATATTAATCTTGCGTTTTCAGTTGCTCACTCTTTTATGGCTGCTATCCTGAATGCTTCAGGATAGCATTCATACTCCACTTCTCACAAAACAAACAAAAAAACAAACAACAAATGTCTTACCCTGCTCTGTCTTTCCAACCTATATTCATTCTCCACTATTTTTTAAGCTTTCTGAGAATGTTAATAAAAAAAATTAACCATATATCTAGTTTAGTTCATTTCTATGCTCCAGAATAATCACTCAGATTTTTTGTTTTTAATTTTTTATTTATGCATTTTACATTTTTGTGCAGTTGATCGGTATAAACGTATCAAGACATGTCATGACTTAAGTGTACGATTACATACAATATAGTATACATTAAAGCATGAAGTCATAAATATATTGCAGCATACATTTGATTTCTTTGGTTGTCGGTATGACATCAGTATCATGACGAGGGGTGAAACACAACATAACATAATATTTCTTGTCGGTAAGACAAACTAACATAAAATATTATTAACATGAATAAGTGAACTTGGATGAGCAGTCTAGATATGTACGGAGTAGCAGGAGTGCTATGTTTTGTATACTTGGCATCTGTAACGTCTGCTCCCATGTTGATTTTATGTAAGAGTGGTGAACTTGAGTAATAGACACTAACTAATATCCCTGGAGGTGGGGTTTGCAATCAAGTGCTAAGAGTTAGGGGTTAGGAGTGTGACCGTGGAATTGAATTTGTGTGCTTTTGGACTTTTTCCTGGGTTGTCATTTTCCCAAGTAGCTGGGTACTGCGTGTTGGGTCTGGTGGAGTTGTGTGTAATATTGTATCCATCTCCCGGGATTCTACGTTATCGTGGGTTGGCGAGTTGCATTTTGGTGGTCGTACAGATTCGGTGCATACATGAAATATGGCATATGAGTGTGCAATTGATCCTGTTCGTGGATAGGGTGGTGAAAGTTGGGGGGGAATTTTTGGGTTCTCATGAGGGGGGTTGTATATCATACAATGAGGGGTAGACATAGAGAACAAAAAAGACAAAGGGGGTATAAGTAGTTTGAAGTAGTAGGTGAGATTCAAGAAAGAGGGTAGAGCTGGCTGCCAGCGGCTCCTGCTGGGGCCAAGTCCCTATGAGGGCATTGGAAATCAAAGAGCCATGGGTCCTACATTTTTGGTTGTATTATGGATTAAGGCTGAGAACACATCCATTTTCTTAGTTTCTTAAATTTTTCCATTCACCTCTTGACACCCCAATGCTCTGCTATAGCCCTCCTGGTTGCTAGCGCTATTTTGGCTATCAATTTATTTTGGGCTCTGGGAATATCCCGGACAGGTTTGAAAAATAGCCAGATCCAGGGGTTCCTTTGGATGTCTGTGTGTAAAATTTTGGAAGTTAACTGGGAGATTTCTGTCCACAATAGTGCTGTTTGTTGGCATTCCCACCACAAGTGGTAGTATGTACCTTTGTGGCCACAGCTCTTTCAACATAGGTTAGAAGTAGTGCTACCTATCTGCTTCAATTTCAGGGGGGTGAGGTACCACCACATTAGCGTTTTATATGCCTGCTCCTTATGGGTAACGCATATAGTGACCATGGCTGTAGCTCCCCAGATAGCCGCCCAATCTGAGGAGTCTTCTGGGGGCCTATATCTCTCTCCCAAGCCGAGACATAGGACAATGGAGCATCCGCAGGGATCAGGGTCAGGAGGGTGTAGATTGAGGACATTTTCAAAAGTTGTCAGAGCGGTAGTACTAGCCTTCTTATAGGTGGGTGTGTCTAGGAAACTCCTAATTTGTATGTATCAGAAGAAATCAAAAGATTTGAATGGTGTTTTATGGGGTAGGTCTGCGAATGGGATTATTTGTTGACCCTGAACAAATTGGTATATTCGGAGAAGTCCATTATCTTTGAAATGGGTAAAGTCTCTCAGGTTCATGCCGGGTGTAAATTGTTTGTTTCTCAGTATTGGGGTAAGGGAGGATGGGATGGAGATGAGTGAGTGTTTGGTTGTAAGTTTGTTCCAGATTGTGATGGATGTAGTAAGTGCTGGCATGGTCAGTGAGAGTTGGGGTCGGGCTTGTCATGGAAGCCAGATGTAAAGGGAAGGGATATGGATAGGCCTTCCCAAGATTCAATGTTTTCTTTTGCTCTTTGTAATAGGGGTGAGGGTTTGTCGTGTGTTGTTGTATGCCTGTCTTGATGGAATGAAGCCCACTTGGTCAAGGTGGATAAACTTGGGTAGGTGGGGGTAGTCTTTCTGCTAATAGTTTTGTGAAGAGTTTGACATTGATGTTTAGTAATGAGATAGGCCTGAAGTGACCCAGTTCAGTATTAGGTTTATTGAGTTTGGGAAGGAGGCAAATATTTCCACTGAGCATGTCTCGAGGCAGGGCTTTCCCTTGTAACATAGAGTTAAATAAGTCACAGAGATATGGGAGTAGTGTCGTGGAGAAAGTTTTGTAGAATAGGCCCGTGATCCTATCTGGGCACGGGCTCTTATTTGGTTTGAGATTTTTGATGGTTTTTAATATTTTTTTCTGTCGTAATGGATGCACCTATCTGTTTAGCCGCCTCTGGTGTAAGGGATGACATGGGTATAGTGTTGAAGTAGTCCTCTACTGATCGTTGTGTCATGTCTGGTTGTTGTCTAGTGTTTGGAGTGTGTTCGTATAGAGTAGTAAAATAATTTTGGCGGGTTTCTAAGACTCTCAAGTCCGTGAGGGATAGTGCGAGTGCAGTCAATTGTGATTTTTTTGTGTGCTGATGTGAGGCTTATTAATTTCCTTCTGAGGACTGTTTTATGTGCCGGCCACATTGTGCTCTTGGATGTCACTGAGAGTTTATTAAGATTAAAATATTCTGACAATTCTTTTTGGATGAACTTCCTTTTCCAATAGTTTAGTCAGTCTTGCAGAACCGTATGTACATGCCAAACATGTATGGAGCACTATTTCTCCATTTGTTACATGTCCAAATGTCTGGGGCATCATGGGATGGACACAATGCCAAAACAGAGCACACTAAAGCTTTCTCTGATACATGGATCTCTTTCCCCATGGTGGCTCTTTTCTGTCTTTCTGTTCCAATCTCTTCCAAATATCTCCAATTCCTCGCCTTTGTAACTACTATTATCCTGCTCAATACCTCCCAAGCTGTAACTCCATCTTTTTGATGATGATGATGATGATGATGATGATGATGAATATGTTTTATTCTAGTCTTCTATATAAACTTATTATACTATAATTTACTCTAATCTATATTCTATAAAATAGAACAATGTCATCTTAATACTCTGTAATGTATTGTATTGACATATAGATCTTTGGAAGAAGGTGATTGAAGCACACAAACCCAAGAATATCACTGAACTGGAGTCCATTGCTCATGCCACCAGAAGCTGGTGTCTGGCTATGCATCTCATTTGCAGCAGGTCTTAATAGCAAAAGGATGCTCTACTAAGTGCTAAAATTGCTTGCTATAAGGGGTTGAATAATTTTGAGACTGGGGAAGTCATTATAAGTTGCATTTTCAGTTGAATTTGGGGAAACCACTTGAAACATTTGTTGTATTGAGCTATTTCAATTGCTTTTGTTTGATTTGTTAATTGCAAACAGCTGAAAGTCTGTACATTTTGACATTAAATCTGATTTTCAATGGGGGTTGAATAATTTCGATCTCAACTGTATATAATAATACGTTTTAAATAAAACAATACATATGTACTAATATTAGGTTTACATTGTATCAATATAATTGATGTTATTCACTTCATCTGTCAGTGGTTGTAATGTTGTGCCTGATCAGTGTAATGTTTGTATGTGTGAATGAAGCAAAACTGTGTTTACTTGCAGTGTTGCATTCATGTATAATGCAAGTGTGAAAATGCAGTAATGTATGTGTTTTTTTTTCAGGATCTTTACATTTATGAGTATATTGGATTGTATAGGAACCGATATTGCAAATGCTCAAATATATGTGAGAAGTACAGTGCTTTAAAAAGCAAAACATCATCACATGTGTTTGTACTGAATGAAGAATTCAAGCAGCAAGTAGAACCTTTGTGAATGCATGATAGTGTGTATTTGTTTGGAGCATTGGAGTGTGAATGTAGCCATGTAGTTGATGGGTGCATTTGCATGGTGTGTTGATGTGTTGGTGTGGTAATGCAGGGTAGAGTGTATTTGTGTACTGTAAGTGTATATGATTAAGACTATATTTCTTTATGAGCTTCCATGATTTCAACTCACCTCTCCCATCAGCTATCAGCTTCTGTATCTTTCCTTCTCCCCACAACTTCTAAATATTTTCTACTTGTGCCTCTCCCTACCTCCTCTGACTTAAGTCTTTCACCATCTTTGCTCGACCAATGTGCTTCCTATGTTTCCCTTTTAGTGTTTATTTTTCCAGCCACCACATTTGTTATTTTTTACCCTTTTCCATTTGCCATTATTTCTACTTGTGTTTTTCTTCCAACCCCACATGTATCCCTCTCCCAGTTCCCCAACGTGTCTCTATCCCTGTTTTTCTGCACTTGTCCAAATCCTTATCTTTTTCCTGTTCGAGTCTGTCTCCATCGTTCTTGTGCCCCTCTTTTCTCTCTCCCCTTGTCCACAGCATGTACCTTTCCTCCTCTCCTCCCCACTAGTGTCTCTCTGCTCTCCTCTTCAGCTTATGCCTCTTTTTCGCACCTCATAATTTGTTTCTCTCCTCATCTCTGCCTTCTCCTGCATCTCCCTCCCCAGTTCTCTCAAACCTGTATTTGTATCTCTTTTCTCATGTCTTTGCACCTGTTTTCTTTATTTGTCTTTATCCCATACTTGTCTCTTTCCACTCTCTCTCATTATCCTCCCCCAACTAGAATTTTTGTTATAATTTCCACTCCACCATTTGTGCATATTTCCCCATTTCTCTACTAAAACTATTTGCATGTCATTTTTTATCAGTCCTTTTACTGTGACTTAACTTAATAATCTTAACCAAGTTCAGTGTATTTTGATCTGTAGATTTATTCAAATGGTTACCCCAACCACCATGACCACTAATGCTTTTTGAAGTGGTCATGGTGGTTGGTGATACCACTTTTAGAGTTCTTGGCACTAGTGTGCCGAGGGCAAGTTGGAACTCCGTTCCAGACTGCCTGATGTCAATTCTGTACATAAAATACGTCTGTTGCCAGCGTGCAGTGCGCCCTGAGTCTGCAAAATAGGGCAATCAAAAAGGTGTGGTTGTACAGAACAGCGCTGGGAGCTTCGCCTACAGCTGAATTTAGGTAAGCAAACTCTGTTAAAAAAAAATGCTTTTTGAGCATTTTTGGTGGGGGGACCAATAGAATAATGATTAGATGAAAATGTGTTGGCTAAAGGATAAACCTTTTAATGTTGAGCACTGTTTAGTTAACCTTCCCCCTTTTCTTTGATGAGTTAGGACTGCATTAATCTATTGCAGAAGCATGCATGTGTAGTCTGTTAAATAAAAGTATGGTGGGGGGGTGGGGGAGTACTAGCCTCTAAGAAACTATCTTATACATTAAAGTGCTAGCTATTTGCTACAAATCATGTTTCTTGAACCATGTTAAAAAAAAAAAAAAAAATCAGTTTGATTTAATTGACAGAACCCTGATTGCAGGCCATTTTTTTCCCCCATGGTTAGAGTAGTTTTAAACTTCTTAGTTGTGTAACCCTTTGTGGGCCAAACGGTTTACAAAGGGTTAAATCCATTTGGAAAGTACCTGCAAAGAAGTGCATTGCTAACCAACACAGGGTGTTTTAAAAGTGACACTGGAGATCTGCATTTACTTTTATTTATCTGTTAGTTAGCCTTATATAATCCATACTGCTGTATTTTTTATTTATTTTTTTTGTCAGATGAGTAAATAAGAGATTTGAATAGTAACCAGTTAAATCCCACATAAAACAAACTGGATATGTATTCATGGCAATGACAAAACGGCTTAAAAACCGTATTGCTGCTCAACACAAAATGCCAGATTAATTAATGAAATTAAACACAGTGACGTCTACATAAAAGCTTAGTCATTCATTGTTATCATGTTGCCTAGGTTCTGATTCAATCTGTTCGGTCACATTACCTTCCTTCACTTCATTCCAGATCAGCAAGTGTAATGGCAAAGATCTGCCTTTGAATGGGAACTGGAAGCTTAGGGTTAAGATGTGATTCCAGGTAACAAAAGCCAATGAGATCTCACGGAGATGATGTTTGTGACATCATCTCACACAGTACATAGAACAGCTGATGTAGCATTCGGCTCCAGCACTATTGCCATTATGATGAATGTTTACATCTCTTCATTGAGAGCCAATTATCTCGCTTTTGTGTGAGGCCCAGAGATCACTCATGCTTTCCGTCTGGATACAGCAGTGTTGGATCTAGCTGAACGAATAGCTTTTTCTCTCTGTGTGTATGGTAAGAGAGTCTCTTCTTTTTTCTCTTCTCATAGATATTGTATCTGATGTGTGTAGCGTGCACAGGAAAATGCTGGCACATCCCAGTGCTCTGTGGTCTATTGGAAGAATAGAATTTTTGCAGTTTTCACTGCTGAATGGTTTAAATAGGCTATATCTGCATGCAAGCACTAAACTGATTTTATCCTTCTGACCTGGTTTGCAACGTAGAGCATGAACAAAAATAAATCTCATTATGTATTTCTGAATGAACTCTGCTGTTGGAATATTAAACATTTAGAATGTTTAGCTTCCAGTACCTGCACTCTGTGTATTTTAGGGGGAAATAGCATGGGGTGTATGAGTGATGCATGGAATGTGAGTGTTGCATAGTCAAATGGGATTATATTCCAACTGATTTACAGGGTAGCAAGTTAAGTTCCCATCCAAAGAACTCGTGGTTGCATTGTTCACCTTTCGAGGAATTGAGGGGGAGCTGCATCCCTGAAGCAAATGTTGTAGGCTATTTTATGAGGATAAAAACCTTTTACATGTTTTGAATTCAGCATGCTTTCATTGATATCCTGCAAACATGTATGTATGAATTTCCATTTCACAAAATGCATGTTTAGTGTAGATAAATTGTATTAGTGATAATATCATCTATTCTAAATATTAGACTTGTCCCCCAATATTCATATCTGTCTGTCTGTCTGTCTATCTACTTATCTAATCTCTCTATATACATATATCCCAAATATATTGGGATTATGAGCCCATGTAGACCACTGAGTCCTGAAGTGATGTGGATTTAAGAGATTAACAATGACATTGACACTGACATATCAG